AAGACATAAGACATGGCGGATGAGGACAAGACAATAGCAGCCAAACCAGTGGCAGCTCAAGAGGAAGTGACCACCGAATCGGAGGCCGACAAGAGTAACAGCTTAGGGATACCGACCGCCGAGTTTGTGGTCAGTATTTGGTGTCTTAATTACAAGACATTTGGTCCACAGTTTATGGGTCACGTGATTCGCACGTGGATTATGTTTATTGCTATTAAGTTATCAATTATAATGGGATTCATTCATACCACTAGTAGATTAGTTGGATTGGCGGTGATTGTGGTAACGATTATCCATTGTGTGGATTATCTACTGATTTTGGACACAATCACTGATTATATATATGAAAATTAGTGTCATGTTCAGGGTTATTTTTGTAGAAATATTTTATAAAATGGTTTATATTTAAGGTTTAGTTAATCACTATCTGATGATTGTGTGCAACACTTGTACGCAAATAGACACAGAGTTTATGTGTCTTATGTTTTGTCTGCTATTATGCCATGAATTGAATGCCAATTATCACTGATTTAATGGCTGATTGTGTGGATGTGGTTGCAGTCAGACGTGGATGAGTTCATGGGTCGCACGGGAAACGATGACACCTCACAGGTGTTGAAACAGTTGGACGAATCGCACACTAAATACCGGTTTATGGAGCAGAACCTCATGCAGAAGAAGCGCAGACTCAAGAAACAGATCCCAGACATCGAGACGTCCATCGATGTCCTCAAACTCGTCAAACATAAACGGGTGAACCATTTGATCTCATTTTTGGTAATGAATTGGTTTTTAATGTTTGTGTCGATAATTAGGATAATAAGGAGGAAACGGAGACACAGTTTATGCTCTCAGATCAGGTGTACATGAAGTCCACGATACCGGCCACTGATAAGGTGTGCCTTTGGTTAGGGGTGAGTGTCATATCGTACTACCCGTCCACTCAATCTTAGCAAACTTATGTGATAATGATTGCATGGCATGTATTGTGATCTTAAAGGCAAACGTGATGCTCGAGTACACCATCCAAGAGGCGGAACAGCTGCTGAAAAAGAACTTCGAGACCGCCAACAAGAATCTGCAGCAAATCGACACCGACTTAGACTTCTTGAGAGATCAGATCACGACCACTGAAGTAAATATGGCTAGAGTTTACAATTGGGACGTGAAAAAGCGACAGTCCCTCAAGAGTAGTACCGGTGCCGTAGCCACTACGGCTGCTACCAGTGCCTGAGAGTAGTGTAGTTGTCGTTTAGGCTTTCAATTATCTGTCAAACCATTTGTGAGATACTAAACACCTGTCCCCTGAAATTCTTTGTCAATTATCACGAGTTTGTGTTTTTAATTAACATATTTTTTGGTCATTTAATAAATTGTTTCATTAATACTTAAGACATTATAACCGGAATTCTCATAACATTTATGAAAAATGATTTGTCAATTGATTTCTTAAATTAAGACATGATTTATATATTTTTAATATACGAATTGAGTTTTGTTTTTAATATATAAACTGTTNTCTCTCTCTCTCTCTCTCTCTCTCTCTTTCTCTCTCGCTCTCTCTCTCTCTCTCTCTCTCTCTACTCCCTCTCAAATAATAAACTATATAATATTTGTCAATAGACATTATTATGATAAAAATTATTTGTAAATTAAATATTTATAGTCAAAATAATTCAAATTTTCAAAATATCCATATATTTCAATATGAAATAATTTTATATAAATTCCTAAATAAATATTTAAAGAATATTCTGACAATATTGTGAGTGTTTTAAATCTACATAACACTTCAAACAATGCACTAAAAAGTAAATCATGTTTTTCACCAAATATCCTGTTAAATCTTATTTTAATTCAAATATTTGCCATTTTATAGACTGGTTTAGGATTTGGTTCAGTGGTGTTGACAAAGAAGGGCATTCACGTGGACAGGGATGTGACAATTGACGGCACTTTATATGCCAAACAAATTAAAACGATGGACACGAAGCAGAGCCTCACTTTTGATTCACTCACCGACGAGAAGATTGTATTGAAAAACAGCGACATTTGGGAAAATAGTCTATCATTAGGTCAGTCCCTGAATACCAGTCCCATTAATACTGTATCATTAATATTGCATTAAATTGCTATTAATATATTTTAGCATCCATTTCCCTGAACAATTAACTAGCATATAATTAACATAAATAATTGTAAACTTCAAAACTTTTAATTCATTCACTATTTTGTATGAATTCATGGGAACAGGAGATGGGAAACTGGAGGTGCAGTCAAATAACTTCCAGATCCGATCGACAGATCCAGATATTGACGACAACACGGATGACATACTGTTTAACGTAGAGCCGGGAGAGATCACCCTTCAGGCCAAAGATTTCTTGCAGCCCTCCCTCGGCGGACACAATATCAACACATCGCTGGAAACCAATTCAATTCGCGGTCATCTCTATCACGACTTGAGGTATGTATGGCTCTCATAATGTACTCACCCTTTAGTGAACACCAATTATTTTAATCACTACTGATTTATATAATTAGTTCAGTCTATACTATAGACTTTATAGCTGTCTGTCCCTTAAGTATACTTAAACTGATTAAATCTACTCTCTCTCTCTCTCTCTCTCTCTCTCTCTCTCTCTCTCGCATCGGTGTTAGACTGGAGTCGCGTACACAACAAGTGATCATTAATGGAGACGAAGACATACACCTAGAGTCCAGGGGCGGAGATATCATGTCTCAGTCTTACGACAACACCATAATGACCGCCAATGACGCTATACTCATGCAGTCTAAGCGCCTGGAGTTCAGAAATTTAGCCAAATTTGACAAATCTGTCGATGAGCTGAATCCCAGGGATTCATATCAAGTGAGTTACCCATTCATTGGATGGGAAAGGGATGTATGAAAACTAATGCTATGTTGAATTCCCAGTTATGCCTGTGCGAGTCGGGCCAGTTGTTTGCCGTACCGCCCGATAGCGTATGTAAGGCCGACGCCCACTGGTGTAGCACTCGGACCGACGATAAATAGTCGACTGTCCACTCATCGCGTGTTTATTAACTCATTTTGACTACAATAAAACTTTAGGTTTAATTAAATGCATATAAAAGCAATTAGAGGAAAGTTGTTTGATTTTTAATGTCTAGAATACAGTATTACTCGAAATAGTGTGGAATAAGTATTATACAGATGTATGAATGAGGTACCGGTGCTTAAAAGTGTTCAATAAAAAATACTACATACTAATTAATTATATTACAATCGCGTAATAAATAGTAAAAGTAGTATTTGATTGTCAAATAACACCATAAAACATGATTTTTATTTAAAAACTTTTACCGTAAAAACCATTAAATAATTTGTTTTTGTATATATAAAAAGTCACTTCAATTCCATGTATTTAATGACATTTTCTTATACCTAATGATTATTATTATAAATAAAACTCGTTTTTCTAAATATAACTAAATATGTGTAAAATTAACATTAAAATTAAATCAAATTATCACAAATAATATCGTAAGTGGAATAAAGTCTCCCAAAAAAAACGTGAGACCTCTTAAGGGCTAGTGTTGACCACCGATGACTTGGACTGTAATTGTTCACTAGATTTGTAAAAACAGGGAAAACATACCATTTAAGGAAAATATTGCAAAAAATCGGTAATAACTGTAATCTCAAAAATTAATATCCAATACACTGAACAACAGTGACAGCACTGGTATTCATACGACTACACCGGACCGGTAGCTCTATAGTTGATCATCACATAGAAAAGGATACATTGAATCACTTAATTGTTGCAACTGTTTTGTACAGTAATATAAAAAAAGTAATTAAAACCATATAATCAATAGAAGGGACAGTTGTCTCACATTCTCGATAAGTTTAGTCATGTTATCCTTCGCCATACGTTTACCCTCTTCTGTCTGATGTCTGTCCACACAACGAGAATCACAATTAATTACTCATAAAAAATAGTCTTACAAAAGGACATGTCTGTCCACAAACCCATAGACTTCCTGTTGGACATCGAGATCAAAGTGTAGGCGCGCCAGTCGTTCCTGTTGTTCCCGCACGCTCTCCATCTTCTCAAACGTGATGTCTTGACCTGAATATGACATCCATTTCCCACACGTTATACACAACCAGTAAATTGAATATCAATTAACAGATAACTACCGAAAGCCCGGAGTTTCCCGGAGTGGAAGTCCTCTAAAAGCGTGAGTAATGTGTTCTCCATTTTGCGGACATCCGTCAGGTCTGAAATGAATGAGTGCTCAATACATGGCTGTCCATTGGATACCAGTGCCCTATCCCTAGCGTTAATGGGTATGTGGCGGCAATTGGGCACCGGATCGGTCGCTTGCCCGCCACCACCGGCACCCCTATCACGAGGCGGTGCGGCGGGGGCACCAGTAGGTGCTGTCTGGTTGGGCGCACTACCGGTGCTATTGACGGACGTGCTCTTAAAGACATGCGATTTGGCGATGCGTTTATCGGCGCCGGTATTCAGATTAAGACGTGCTTTGATATGATTTAACGG